CTTTTCAGGGAGTGAACAGAGTGGAGGGGCTGGGACTAAGGCCTGGCCTAGGGTACCAACACACACCACAGGAAGCTTCTAGAAAGGCGGCTGTAACCCAGACACATCTTGGGAAAACACTATCAACTTGTTCCCCATGGCTATGAAAAGTCTACCTTTTTTACTTACAGTACTGTTTTGCTATGTGATTGTACTTATAATCAAATCTCCCAAAATACAAACAATTCAGAGGACCTCCATGATGAATTTTTTCAATAAAATACAATTTTCAAAAAATGTTAATTCACAAGCTGTAAGGATGTATTGTATAGCATGGGGAATATAGCCAATATTTTATAATAACTATAAATGGAGTATAACCGTTAAACACTGTGAATCACTATATTGTATACCTGTAACATGATACTGTACAACTATATTTCAATTTAAAAATATATTATAAATTAAATATTTAAGTTAATTTTTTAAATGTTAATTCACTTAATTTTTTTTAATGGAAAGCTGTATGTTTGAAACTTTTCAAAGTCACTGTGCCAGGTATTTTTATATTATCATCTTTATATTCTTAATCCATAGAACAACTCTACAAACAGGTCTTACTCCACTTTTACAAATAAGGAAACAGACTCAAAGAAGCTACTCAGCTCTGTCCAGAATCACACCCACGGCTGGGAAACGGTGGAGCCACGACGTGAGTCAGACCCACCTCACTCACCAGCCTACACTCTCCCACTACACACAGAACCCACACAACCTAAAGCTGACGCCGGGGGCTGACTTTCCGTTTACCTTTGCATTCACTGTTGCCACCTTCTCCTTGGCTCTCCAGTGTTGTAGTGGAAAATGGTGAAGAAACTGGTTTACTTTGGGTAGTATCTCTGCCAAATAAACTGGAGTTTCCAGAAGAGAATGAAAATCCAGTCAAGGGGCCAGAGTTTAAGGAGCCCAAAACAGAACTATCGATTTTCTTGCCGAAGTTAAATGAGGCGCTTGTTGCTCCCGGGGATGGGTCCTTATTCTTTTCAGACACCGCCTCCAACTTCTTTTCAGATGTATCCTCAGTTTTGTTGCCATGAAACAAAAAAGTTGACTCCTGCTGCAGTTTTGCTGAACCAAACAGGGAAGGAGGCTCTGTTTCAGTTGACATCTTGCTAGTTTCACCCTCAGAACCGCTGCCGCCACCGGCCACATGCAGCTGCTCGATCCCTGCTAAGTACTTCTCGTAGTCTTTAAAGATGGGAGTCAGATCGCACAGGGGGTTTGTGTTCACGTGCTTCACGATCCAGTCCCGAACAGAGCAGTTTAAGGCAGCCAACTGCTTGTGGTAGGCATTCCCATGGCGGGCTGGGCTGGAGGTAAGGCCGGAGGACGAGGGCTGCTGACGGTCGCCATTCGTTTTGGGATCTGAAATCTTTTTATCGACCAAAGAGGTAGGGCCATTTACAGCAACAGACCCTACAGGAAACACAGTTTTAAGAACTTACTCAGAAGTTGGACTAAGTCACCTAGATTCCCACACCCCATCCCCCCATCTTCACATTTTCTTTCACTGTGACCCACTTTTGTGACAGTTCAAGAAGGATGCGCGCACACAGTATCCAGGAATTTGTTATTACAAAACTCATACTAAATATCAAATCAAACTTTGTATTAGAAGAGAGAATCTATTATATGCTTACATTAAATGTCTATAATTTAAAAATAATCTTTTCCTTCAAAAAGATGCCCATTTCACCCCAAAGTGTCAAAACACTGGGTCAGTATAAAACTTAATTCCCGAGGTTGCAGGGGTGAATGCGTACTGCTGCAGGTAAAATTTTAACAGAAAGTGCTTATCTTAATGGCACTAAACAGTCCGTCTAATTTAAATGAAACAGCATATACTCTTAGAACAACTAGCTAAGTAATCCAACCAATCAGGATAATTTCCAAGAACCAGAGATTTTAACCCATTCTAATCCCAAGAGTTCAAGACCAACTCCCTCAAAACGGCATCAGGCCAACATCTCCCAGGCAAAATAAATGTAGACTGGCTCCTAGATCGTCAGCAGGTGTGTGGCACCGGGGAGGGCTTGGTGACGCATAGTGAATGAGGGGGTGTGAAGGAAGCCCTTTACAGAGGGCCCCTTAACAGCTCTTCTCCTTTGACCCTTAGGCCAATTCTGAGGGTCACACTCACTCCACAGTTGAAGATTTGGAGGTTCAGAGGCTAAGGAACTTTACCAAGGTTACAGAGCTGCTAACTGGCAGAGCTGAGAATAAAACCCAGGTCACTTTTTGGCCTGTGCTCTACTCACTTACTCTGTAAATAGCCAAAAGCTCCCTAATCTCTATCCCTTTCATTATTACCCTGTTTTGCTCATATCACCCAGGACCCAGGCCAAGTACAAGAAAAACATCTTTGCAAAGTTCTTTTTCATAGAAAATCTCTGCACAGATGTGGTGAGCGGAGAAGAACCTACTTACCGAAGGTGGCCTTGGTCTCGGTCGCTGCCCTTGCACTGGAGAAGGGAGGGGCACTAGTCATGCCGTTTCCATTTGACAGTCCTTCCAAAGGCTTCCCTCCTGCACCATTACCAAATCCAGAAAAACCCCCTCCTCCAGATGGTACGACCAAACCTTTAAAACCTTTAAAGGCCCCTCCACTATCAGACTGAAATAAAAAAAAAGAGCATATATTAGTTAACTCTACTTTTTAATCACCAAATAAACAAGTGGATAACAAGTATTGTCTTGGCTACATCACACCTAGAATCCTTATGCAAGCAGCATTAAAGGAAACTCCCAGCAAAGCAGAAATAGGCCATGAGGTGGATTTTATTAATGAAGACAGCTTTGTGATCCCAAGCTGCCTTCCTGAAACAGGATGGATAGTTGTAATTTATAATGAAATAATTTTTAAAAACATACTTAGGATCTAAAAGGTTAAAAAAAACTAAAAAAATAAATTCATGGATTCACCACTTAGCCACAAAACTATAATTAAACACCCATTCTCGATTCAACTAAACCCTAAATGAAAGACTTTTCACATACTACTCAAAGACCACTGGCCTAAGGAAGCTGTAGAAACATCAAGTTAGGTTAACTGAAGGTATTTACCCACTACTTATAATTTCCCTAAGAATTTTCATGGCTTTCAACCTGCTTTCAGCATACAGAAACTTGAGAAGTGGAACTGATTCCCAATTCCAGACTTTCCCTTAGTTGAGAAATCGAGAGGCAGCATTTTATTCTCGAGGTTTTCTTGTTGCTTTTTTTAGCAAGGCCTTCCTATAGGCTTGTCCTGCTGTTGCTAGCTTCCTGCCACCTCTAACCAAGACGCTCTGGAAATGTCTGGCATTCCTTATGACATTCTAAAGCTGCTCTCTGGCCTTGGGAAATTGAGGAGAGAAGTTCCTCAGTTTACAGTGCCTTATTGAAGTCACTACAGTTTCTGTAAGATCTTTTTTCAAAGTATTGGTTACACCACAGCAGGGTGGATTTGCTTCTCGGACCAAAGGTCCAAGGGAGGCTCTAGGAAATATTCTCAAAGATACATCATAGGATACGTGCTCAGAACATCCAAGAGGGTGCATACACCTTAAGATCTCACATAAATAAATTGTAATAATGATCTCACAAAAATTACTTACGCTAGAACCTCTTCATTTTCTAAATGGGCCAGTTAGCCTCGTATTATTTTTTTTTTTTAGCCTTGTATTATTGTAGCTTTCAAAAAACATACAAGTTTCAATCACGTCTACAGAATGGTTGCCCGACCACTGGTAGACACACGGCAACAAAACTAGGCAAGAATGCAAAATCTTAACTTGCGTGAATCCCAATGCGTGTAATAAATTCAGCTCAGGTTCTGATGCTTTAAGTTTGATTTTTGATGATTCAAAATCCAAAATATAACCAAACTGACAGTTACCATTTTGTAACAATAATTCACAGACAGACTGTAAAGCTGCAAGTGACTCTCCAGGGCCGTTCATTTCGTGCAATTTAAAAAAGCCACATGGTATCTATACCTATTTTGGAAATTGCTTGCATTATATTGGCTCCAGAAATCATCACAAAAATTCAAGAACCACTTGTTTTTTAAAAAAAGGACTGAGAGACATTCAGAGAAATGAGAGTAAAAGTTGAATGAGAAGCTATCCAGTTGGGATCTGTGGGCACTGAAACATCCCTGTGTCCTCCAATCCTCCTCCCTTGTTTTATTTTTCCTCATGGCGTTCATAGAGAAAAACAAATACTATATATTTATGTGTCTCTTCCACCATTAGGATGTAAATTCCACAAGGCAGGGAGAATTTGGTCTGTTTTTACCCACAAATGTCTCCAGTGCCTAGCAGAACTTTGAATGAACAAATAAACAAATCCACTATATGGGAAAAGCCACATTTCAGTATTTAAATGGATGAAACAACATTGAATTTCCCTAATATACAAGTTCTGAGGGAAACGATGCTAAAAGTTAGAGCTAAAATTTTATATGGATTTCAAGTATCCATTTCATTTCCATCAGTAGCCACAGGACTCTCCCTCCCCCTCCCCTTTGGCCACGTTTGGACTGTGGTCTGCACTGTTTCTATCTCCTCACTGTCACACGTCCAACAGCTGGACCGTCCCTCCTTGAGCCTGTCTCCCCTTGGCTTCTCGTTCTTCATCGCGAGCCCCACTCTCAGGCCTCTTCCCATCCACCCCCATGGCTTCAACATGCTAGAAGGGAAACTTCTCAGGGCCGCACCCACCTCTCAGCTCAATTCCTGCTCTGAGTGGCCAACCAGCATACCTAGTGGTCTCCTTGAGAACCCTTGAAATACATTTCTACCACTAAACCAATCACTTCCCCCCTAATTAACTTGTCCCTCTCCACTGTATCTCTTCATGAAATGGGCTTGGCTCAACAGCTACATCCAACTAGTCACCTGTCCTAAGAATGAAATTAGACCAGAAAGAACTTAGAATAAAGAAAAATTTAACAGAGCCACCACAGAACGTGCAGTTGAGTGGGTTCATTCTGAAGATGCCATCCAGGATGTTGGAACTGCCTGACAGCACCTGGCTTCTCCTGCCTGACAACAGATGTCCAGGTTACCAAGACAGTGCTCACGTGTCTGGAATGTATCTGAGGGATGAGAACTGTACTGGGGAAGAGTTGTTAAACATGGAATGGTTGCTGAACACTGACCACCTGACTTCAGCTCATGAGTTATAACTCATCTCTTGTCCTTTTGAACCTAGGAATGAAACACTTTAATAGACTATACTAGACCAGAAGGAAAACCGACAATGGGAAATGCTTCTATTATTTTTAACGATATGGCCCTACCCACACCTCGATCCCAGGGAGCAGGTAAGACTGAGGATTCCTTACATTTTCCTTTCTTACTCCTATCTGACACCCACCTCCCTTGCTTTTGTATTGCTATATTCATTTTTTCTCTTCATACTGTCACTCAACTCAAATGTGTCTACATCTACATCTTATTTGCACAACTGGGTAAGTTCCCTTTAAGGTACAGATATCACATTTTTTTCCCTATCTCCCATGGTCTAAATCAAGGATTTTTACAAATGGACTAGGTGTCTTAAAAAGCATTTGTAGATCTGATTGCTCCCAGAGGTGAAAATACTCTGCAATTCTGAAGTCAAATTAGTGTTTAATACCAGAAACTATAAGAAAACACTCACTTCAAATCCAACATTTCTACGTTTTGCTTTCTTTATGGCTCTATTCTTCAAGACTTCCTCACTGGCCACTGAGAATGTTCCCACCTGCAGGAGTATACAAATTAAGTAGCAATGAGATCAGGCCAAAAAAGATAAAATGCCGAACAAAAAAGCTAGACCAGACAAACTGATCTAGTATCTTCTGGTTTTAAAGTACTATTACTGCTGGTAACACATTATGGAGAGGGCATTTTAAACCAAAGTTTATATCTATTGTCTATCTTGTGAATTTCAACGCTAGTTAGGTGAATCAGAAATCTACCAGAAACTACAAATCCAGGCTTTTGAATCACAATTCAGAGAGAAGAGTACATGTATCAAAGTTCTAAGAAGACTGAGACCACCACAACTTTGGTACAAAACTATGACCCATTCTTCAAACATTTTAAATATATTCAAAGACATTACCCAGATGCCCAAATCCAGTAACTTACTATTATGGTTTTCAAAAATAAATTATATACTCATAAGATACACATTATTTTAAAGAAGAGCCTTGCCCATTTGTCCGTATCCAGAAGACCACCGAGGGACCTGGGCTCTAAGTGACCCTGTTAGAAAACTTCTGCTCTTCCACAGTGTACTCAAAGTACCAAGTCCACAATCAGAAAGTTGCTGAAAATCTTTGACTTTATTTCAATCCTTTTACCCTGGAGGACAAGCATAAAATATTTTCTGTAAAAAGTTCTCATCTATACCTATTTCAGATAATGTTAAAGATGTCTCTACACCAACAGAAAGGACCATCTGGCTACACTTGACCCAAATTAAATGTAATGTCTTTCCACATTCATTCCATTAGAATCTACCCAAATGCAAGTTTTTTCATTCCCGAAATATTTTAATGTCAAAATAAATCATATGGTAGTCCAAATCTTACTAGGCTCAGAATGTAACTGTGCCTAAAACCTGGAAAAAAACGTAGTTACTAGAGACTTGGTTAAAAAGTACCAAGTCAGGGAGGGGTAGGGGAAGGTATAGCTTAGTGGTAGAGCCTAAGCTTGGCACGCATGAGGTCCTGGGTTCAATCCCCAGTACCTCCATTAAAAATAAACAAAAGTAGCAAGTCAGAATTGTTAACAGCTGTGTCTTTCAAAAGCCCATACTTACAATTATGATTTCTTTAAACATATTAGTACAAATATTTGCAAAGGAAAAAATAGTAGTACTAGAAAATAGATTCAGAAAGAAGAAAAATAGCAGTCTAAGAGTAAGTTTGGAAACGCTTCTGCAGACTCTTTAAAAAATACAGATGTATATTTTTAACTCAGCCCACTTCTGTTAACTTGAAAGGCTAACTTGGTTACAGATTCCTTAGTGAACTGGCCTGGGAGTATCAAACTGCTGATGAGACACTTTAGAAATGCAGCTGTGTTCTAGTCTTTGTAAGAGAAAAATTAAAAAGATTTCCTCAGGGAAGACCATTTTTATTTTGTTAGGAAAGAAACTAGGCCAATCTAAATTCTATTCCTATTAACGCAAGGGGGGGGAGGGAGAGAGGGAGAGAGGGAGAGAGGGAGAGAGGGAGAGAGGGAGAGAGGGAGGGAGGGAGGGAGGGAGGGAGGGAGAGAGAGAGAGAGAGAGAGAGAGAGAGAGAGAGAGAGAGAGAGAGAGAGAGAGTAGTGTGTGTGTGTGTTGTTAGTAGTAGTAGTAAGTAAGTAATAAGTAAAGTAAAACGTAAAACGTAACGTAACCGTAAGTAAGTAAAGTTAAGGAACGTACGAACCTCGT